AGATGATTGTGCAACCTCTGTTTTTTTTTTCTTTTTCCTTGTTAGTGTTCTTTCAATTTGTATTCTTCCTAAATAAATGAAAGTTGCTTCTTCAGAGTTAAAGACAGATATCCCCTCTCCCCTCTCCCGATTTCAGCAATCCAATTGCATTCCTCATAGCACTTAATCCTCACAATATTTGCAATATTTTCATGTGTAGGCAATATAGTGTCCACATTTGTTACATGAAAAAAAAGGAGTTCATTAGTGACTTTACATTCACTAGATAGAAGTTCTATCGCCATAACCTTATCAGACCACGACAAAAGACTGAGGATTCCATAGAGTTGCATATCATTTTTCCAGTTGTAAGTAACAACTGTCACGTCCTTAGTCTTGAACTAAGCGTACATTCGGCATTTGACAACTTATTTACGATCTTACACAATTCGGTCATGATCTTGCTGTGCCAAGTCAGCCTAAAATACACACTCAAGATCGCTAAGGGAATGTTAGATAAGAAAGACAAAGAGAAATTTGCCAAATGAAATTTTTTATTGTATAGAACTTGATTATTTTGCTTGATGAATTATAAATGAATGACCCCCTTTATATACTAGTCTCCTAGGGGCTAATATGTAAATATTAATTGTTACACAAGTTCTTAATATTTACAAGATAAGGCTTTCTCTAGAACTCTCTACAAATCTAGAAGATTCCAAGGATTTTTCTAGCAAATCCATAGGTATCTAAGGTTTTCCTACGGAAATGTCCATACTTCTCTATAATCTTCTCACAAATGCTAGCATTCCCTCATATGTAAGCTTTCAAGCATTAATATATGCCAAATGGCACATACGTGGCATGGTGATGTGGTGAATCATGACACAACTATGTATATCCAGTAACCGGTATAAGAGGATGTTCATAGTTAGCTAATGCATCATAAAAAAAGAATTGAATTTCAATAGCTTGCAAACTACTGTATATATAAAAAATCACCTGCTTTTTGCAAGGCCTCCGCTCATGTCATACAACTCCAACTAGCTCTTAAAAGAAGATTTACAATATCCTAAGGCTCTTGTACACAAATTTATTTTTATTTTTCCTAAGGGTCTTTTGGAAATAATATTTTTGTCTTCTTGAAAGTAGGGGTAAGATTTGCGTACATATTAACCTCCCCATACTCCACTTGTGCAATTATACTGGGTCTGTTGTTGTTGTTGTTGCCGTCTTGTATATTAATTTGGAATTATTAATGAAAATAGCAGCTAAAATCATAGGAAAACCATTAATTTTAGCCAGCTAAGTATGAGATGTCCATTGGTGTCGTCCTCACCCCCGTTTAGAAAAACAAAAAGAAGCATCAATAAATTACACGGAATTGCAGACATTATATCCTTAAATTACAAATTCCTATGTCATTGAAGTAAACAAATCAAAGTGTTACTCCAAGAAAGTGGTAACCAAACAAGAGGATCCAGTTGTAAAGAGAAAAATACCATAAACTATTTATGGCCTATATATCAACTTGTAGTATAGAGGCTCACAATCTTAGCCTCGACCCTTGTGTTCCAGCTATGTAATCTTTATGGGGTTTCCATCACAATATGCACCACGCTTCCGCCCTTGTGTTCTGGCATGCGTATTGAATTCCTGACTATTTATGATAATATAATATCGTTTTCTAAGATATATTTATTTTTACTCCGTTCATTTTTAGTTATCAAATATTTTAAAAATAATATTTTATTTTTATTTGTCACTTTTTCGTATATAAAGAGAAAAATATTTTATTTTTCTTATTTTGTCATTAACATTAATTACTCATTCCAAATTATTTTCCAAATCTATTAAGACTATACACCAATTAATATGAGTATGAGTATCATGATAAATTATGCATTTTATTTATTATTTCTTAAGAAGTGTGCAAAACCAAAGTCAATAGTGGACAAGTAAAAAAGAATAAAGAAAATACTTTTTAATTAGGTTGTTTAAAAATTGGTTTTTTCTTCGATAAGATTTTCTTCAATATTCAGTACATTTTTCCTATCCGATCACTCTAAAAGGTGGACATTTTTCATTAAAATAAAAGAGTTCATATTCTTTTTATCGATTAACTTTCGGCTCCTTATTGAACCAGAAAAGAAAAGTATTTGATTCTTATTTTAACATATTCCTATTTAGTCGAATTAAAACATTTAAATTAGAAAGAAATGAATAATTAGCTTTCGCATTTATGTCAAATTAAGACAAGTGAGACTTGCTTTAATGTTCGAGCACCTCCATCACTAATCCATGGATTAAAGGTTTGGGTCATGTGAAGATAAATAGACAATAAAAACTTACATAAAATCAATGTTAATACTAAATTAGTGTATGAATTAATGAATAATGACAAGTGTTACTCAACTATTAAGATGGATGACACCAATTAATAAATACCTAATATGCATTAATCAATGAATTTAAGTTATATTCATTGTCAGTATAAAAAGTATTTACACAAGTAACTATATTTAATAGGATTGCTTGAGATTTTTTAATAAATTATATGTAATTAGTCTTTGCAGTTTAAATAGTGATGATATAAAAAATATATAATATTATTTTTTAATCAATTTATTTGAAGTAAACTTATATACGAATAAATCTTTTCAATAAAAACACCATTCATCTTCCCAAAATGAGGTGGGGTTACAAATTCTTAATTTACATTTAAATCATGATGAAATTCATCAAAAAGAAAAAGAAAATAGAGAATTAAACCTGAAAGTGGGCCCACAATCGAAGGATGGCCCACTTTGAAGCCAGCTGTACGTCTATCTATCTACCTTCCATTTGAGAGTCTCTTTGCTTTCTCATATTCTCCTCTTTGTAACCTTTCCGTTTCCATTTGCAGAGACAGAAAGGAGAGAATTTCTCTTTCCTTTTTTATTTATAGCACAAAAAAAACTTTACAAATATAAATAAATCAAATAGTATTCCCAAAAGAGACATAACCGTTTTGTTTTCCGAAAGAGTTTTCTCTCTGTTTCTGTGTAAAGAAGTCATGGCGGTATGATTCTCAATCCCCTTTACATTTCTTTTATTATTTTTTTGTTTTAAATAAAAAATACCCTTTTTAAGATTTTGATTATGGGCTAGTTCTTTGTTCTTCTCTGAGTTCCTTTTGGTAAAAAGGGGGGAAAAGAAGAAAAAAGGAGAAGAGTAGGCTTATGAATTATCCAGTTTGTGTTAAAATTATTGTTTATAATTCTAAGATGTTTTATTTTGGGTGATTTATGATATTTTAGGTCTTAGTATAATTTCTTTTTGAGATCTTACTATGTATTTTGTGTCTTGTTTTAATGTTGAGGAAAGAAACTATCTATTTTCATGGTGAATTTGTTTGTTTTTTTGGTTTTTGTTCTTGCCCTTGTTTGAAACCCTTTTTCTTTTATATTTGAAAGATTGAATTTTTGGTTTCTTAGAAGTTAAGTGGTTGAAACTAATAATAGAATAGAAGCTCATAAGGTTAATGTTAATATCTTGGGATTTTTTTTTTAACGGTAGTGATCGGTCTATTTCACCGAGTTCCTGCTATTTCACACCAGCACAGATACCGAGTAACTCTGTCCGTCAAGGCTTTAACCGATGAAAAAAAATAACTGGTTTAGAGGTAGCAGGTACAATAGTATGTTCGCCCAAGCTCTGCCCGAACACCACCGTCATTAAAAAAAATAATACTCAGACATTTCCCTTTTATTTTAATGCTTTGTTTCTGTTTCAGTCATTCTAATTCTCTCTGTGCTAAGAAACAGATTGATTGTGTGAGTTTCTAGTTTTTTTTGGATAAAACAGTGTGCTACAACCTTTTGCTTAATATTTTGAAACAAATTCACCAGTAAATGATAATATTTGCTTCTACAATTTACTTATATGGTTTTGATGTAATCCTATTCTTCTGAAATATTTACTTTAACAGGCGAGCTGCTATCTGCTGGCATATTTGATTTTATTCATTCGTAGTAGTCAGCACCTGAATACTTTTCTTTATTTTGGATAACAACAAAAACCATGACAAAAATAATGCAATGTACCCGAAATTGTAATGCTACACCAAGTTGTGATTCAAAATCATGTTCTGGTCATATGCTTTTCTGTGTGTTGTGGGGGGGGGGGGGGG